CAATAATACATGTAACCTTTATTCCATCAGTTATTATTTCTGTTTGCAGAAATATGCTGCATTTACCTGAGCTAACCTTTAGGTTTATGCAGTAGATGAGGGCTGTCAAACATGCGGCCCCAGGGGCCAAAACCAGCCTGCCAAAGGGTCCAACCCGGCCCCACTGGATGACGCAAAAGCACGAGAACTGACAACTGAAAACAGAGAGAATAAATGAACTGTTGGCAGGGTTGAGGAAACAACAGTCTGTTTTTAGTTGTTGCCGGGGGATCAGCTGTTTTGTCATTGGATTTGTCATTATTGTTCCTGGGTTCCTTTGTTCTGAGTCTGCATGATGCTGGTGAATGTTGTGTTTTTTATTTTGGTCAAAGGTGGAGTTATTTTCACTGAAAGGAGGCGTGTGGCGCAGTGGGGTGTAGGTGTTCGGATCAGGGGGTCACAGGTTCAAACCCCACTGCAGTCAGCATGTCGTTGTGTCCCTGGGCAAGACACTTCACCCCAAATTGCTCCTGTGGGGATTGCCCACAGTATTGAGTATGTAAGTCGCTTTGGATAAAAGCGTCTGACAAGTATCATGTAATGTGATGTAATTATTGTGAACGTTTTCTGAATTCTGACTTGTACTTCTTCACTAAAAGAGAAGGAAACATTTGGATATGTTGTACTTATAGAGGTGATATGCAATGGTTGTGCTTGTCTGGCTCACTTGATATTAACATTTCTATCTGTGGCCAACAAATAGAGAATACAAGATACATGTTTCATGGTAATGATCACGTTTTTTGTGTAAGTGTGTCCAAGGTTATTATTTGTTTTAATTACTCATAACTCTCAATCTTACCCGTGACGACTATATGTCTCAGCCGTCAAACTCTAAAAGAAAATGAAAGTTGCTAAAATGTTATGTTAACACATTTGAATGGTGAGGAGTAATCAATGATTTTTAACCTTGCACCCTCCATAAATCCATAGAGATGAAGTGTGTCTCCCTGCTCTGCTACTGACTATTACTACTTCTGGTATATAGAAAAAAATACGTTTTATATTGCTTTTTCTCCTCATTCAAATAACTAAATTCAGTTCTCAAGGTCTCGCACCACTTTGCTTTGATATAATACGTCTCTTCCCTTTAACACTGTATTTCTGTCTTTAAAATTAGCAACGACTGAAACTGTTTTTTATTTGAAAAGGTACTTTTACATTTTTTTTTATTTAATTCATCGTCAGTTATTTTCAGTCACATATTGGACAAATATTAACAAAATGTATGTCATCTTAAGAGTTTCTTTTTATTAAAAATGAAATATATATATTTCGAACAGGAAAATTCAAAAGCTTTTATTTTGTATTTGTGACCAAATAGGCCAAGGTTGTGGTTTATTATGACAATAGTTATGTTGTACAACGTATTCAGGAAATGCATGTTGGGGGTTAAAGTGTTGATCTGCTCGCTGGGAGTTTTTTAATTACCTTTCATCGGTGTGAAAATGGCTTTCTAGCTGTCTGGTTTCTCAGGTTGTCTAGTTCCTCTTTCCACTTTCTGGTGCTATAGCGACTCACTACAATCAATAGAAATGTTCACAGAATGGCCTCAGAAGGAAAATAAGGCCCTCCCACCTCATTGCAAAGTGTCCTCTGAGATTTGAAAGCTTGGCAGTGAGGCATCCGTCTCCGTGCTCCTTTACTGTAGAAGACGGTGGAAGATTTCAGCCCTCTGAATATATCTGAGACTCGTTTGCAAAAACTTAAAATTCCTATTTCGCTCAAAATAATCTTTTTTTTTTTAAAAGATTGATATTTCCTGACATAAACTTTCCTTTTCCGCATTTAATGCTTTTTTTTCCATCTCCCTTTTCTCTCAGATGTAAAGGAAAAAGGTGCTTTCCCTAAAATCCTAACTGTATAACCAAGGGTGAAAGCTGTTTTGTCCCTTTGGAAGGGATTCATTTCCACATGAAAAGGGGAGTTCTGTCCAATCCTTTTATACATGTCCGTTTAGTTTGCCCAACACAATGCTGGACTAACAAAAGGCAATAGCCTTTACAGTGTGTATATAATGCTCTGCACATATACAGAGCGTGCATCCATTGTTACTGCTGCTTTTTAACAGACATCAAACAAGACAAGACACAGTTTTGGACGCATGCATGCAAGGGAAGAGTAAGGAAGTGTATGCATAATTTGTCAATGTTGCTTTTTTATAATGTCCATAGGTCTCTGTGTCCCTGTGGTGTGGCCCATCTGTTTTCTCTGCTGATACTGAACATGTGTAAAACATACAAGGCTGAAGAGAGATATGGGCTTTTATTCTTTAATGTATGCTATGCTCTTGGGCTTCAATGGTGAAGTTTCTGGTTCATGTTTTGTGTATCCAGGCACGCATCCCTGCAAGCCGTAGGTAGCCCGGGAAGCGAATGCAGCAAATAATAGGGTAGAATGTTCCTGCGTGGAATTTTTGTGATTATTCCTGACTTTAATCTTCGGGTCTAAAAAAAGGCTCTGCACTGCAGGATGCACAAAATCAAGCCCTGCATTTGAGTTTATTCTGTTTAGATACTCCATCATCAATCTATTACATGTCTGTGGGCCATTTGTTTGTCACAAAGCAGATTATAATTGTTTTGCTTAAAGCTCCATTTCATTTAAGTTTTAGTTTTAAATTCTTTTGAAGCTCTTTCCACCATGCAAAACACAGTTGTTTACTGTATGCACAGCCGCATCATGCTTGAGCCTTTGAATTTGGATGTTGAAAATGACTGGTCTCCAATAGAGGGCACAGTTGACTGCATGGACACGCACTGAGAGTGACTGAGTGAAAAGCCTTGCTGAAGGTCTCAGAAAAAAGCAAATTTCTATGAGTATTCAAGACATGTTTGAGTAACAAAACGGGGGTGTTTTTTTACAGAATTTTCGTTTTTCTTTGGTTCAAGAAAGTGAAGGACTATTAATCCATCATTAACCCTCTGATGTACCATAGTTAAAATAACCTTTATGTCTATAAACGGTGTGATTATGTTGCTTAGTAACTGTCCACATACAGTGTCTCTGAAAAGCCCCAAAGAATATTACAGAAAAGGGAAAAAGGTATTTTGACTTGAGGTAGAGGATGGTATTTGGCTTCATCAGCCCTTACAAGAATACCTCTCCTTTTTTTATTCCTTTCTTTCTTTCCCATTTCTGCATGCCCTTGACTGAAGATTGAATGGCAGAGTTGGAGATAGATTGTTGGGCAGCTGCCTTTCATGCAGATAATGCCATTTGATGGAGGCAAGTTTTTGATGTGCTCCGGGTATAATAAAAGAATCAAGCATCGAAGGCCAGGGCTGATTTTGCCTGGAGAAAAGCTGTCCTCAGTGATAACTTCATCACTGCATGTGGTCGGACGTGGGCTAAATGCAGGAAGGGGATTACAAAAAAAATTGCCCAGTCAGAGCTGCAGTAGTTGGCCCCCTATTGAGCCATGGGGCCTGCAGACCATAGCTTGGAGGTCTGTGATCTACCATTGGTATTGTTAGTCTTTCTCTCTTCTCTCTCCCTCAGAACCAGAACGACTCTGCCTCGAAATGCCTTTCTAGTAGGATTAGTGGGCTTTTTCTTTTGTAATTAATGAAACTCTGCTTTCCGCGGTCTATCCTCTAAATGCTATCATTGAAGCCTATGAGATAGGGTCTCTATATTTTCTTCAATCACAAAAACGAATTCAAAGTAAATGTGATTTTGGTTTAATACCGGGACGAAAAGTGTCCGGGAGGCAAGTGTACTTATCTTTCTGTAACCGGAGCTCATCAAGATTACGTTTTCACACTTACCAACACACTAAAGAACTTCAACTCTGCATGAAATCAACCTATCAAAACCCTCAAAGCATGCTGATATTTTGTTGTATGCTAAAAGGCATGGGGACAAAATATGAAAATGATAAGCATTAGAGGAACCTAATGGTTTGGGGTGATAGAACTCAAATGGTGCATATTTATTGCACATCCCTGCTGCAGCTGATCAATTCCACCACACAGATGGTGGGTGAAGCAAAACAATATAAATCAACCTTTATTCAACTGCCAGTGTTGAATGCAACATTTTAATTTGTACAACAAGCTGAGGCCTTCTTGTTTGTCTAACAGTTTAATTAACAGCTTGAATAACCCCTCAGCTGCTGGTATTTTGTAAGAAATAACACTTTTATCAATCTGCCTTTTTTCACTCTTTCCTTTCTTTTGTCAGACTGAAGGTGAGAAACAAGAGATTCGAGTGTGAGCCAATTACATGGCAGAGCGCAAATATAGGTAAGCTTAATGAACAGCTTCCCAATACAAAAGAGAGGAAGGGAGAAGAGGCTGAGGCAAAACCAGCAGGTAGGCTCAGAGGACGCTTAATCTCAGAGCAGATCCATCTCGGCTGCTTCATATTGAATTTATGTAGTATTTTTCTAGCATGTAATTGACTAAAACTTATATGGTAATAAGCATTATAGGGTCATTCCAGGTAAACTGTATTTTTTCGAATAATTTATTTTGTTCACACCTTTATGCAATTTGCATGTTGAACACCGACTGGAGGTCATAGTTGACCCTCCTTCATGTTGACGGCCCGCACCTCTACCCCGGTGCTGATAGGCAGACCAGAGGCTACGCTGTGGAAAGCGAGGGGATGCGCAGTTTATCAGCTGACAAGTGCATATCGGACAAAAGAGCAGCTGAGCGGCTGGTGAGCCTCCGCATCCTAACCGAGTGAGTTTTGTTTTTAAAGAGAAAAAAACATCCTGCACCTCTGCTGGAGGACAGGAAATGTGACAGTGTTGCCTCATGAAAACTGCATTCTTGGAAGTATTGAGCCACGGAGAAGATTTGTGAGCAGACACACGTTTCACACGGAGCTGCAGCTCTCCGTCACCACAACGCAGCACAACATCCTCGTCTCCTGTTCACAATCGGTCGACATCGACGTGAAGCCAAGGCAAGACGTTTCTGTGTAAATGTGCAAGGGCTGTCTGTGAAGAATTTCAACTGTGCTAACATTGCACACGCGGTTATTGCGAGGAAGGCACCGCGACGCACTGTGCCCACCGCTGCCTTCAACTTTGGACTAAAGCGCGCCGCTGGAAGTTTATGTGCCGCTGCCTCGGACAGGCTCTCTGAAGCTCCATGCAGGTCAGTGTCCAGATAGTATTTTATTTAATCCTTCTTTATGAATGGATGTCAGCCGCGGGATAAAAAAAAAAAATAAGCATACTCCATTCCATAATGCTGTCTAATTTGGTCTATTGCAATTTCCCGGTAATATGTGGAGCCGAAACATTCCGAGCTCCCAAACCCCCTTTTCTCATCAGCACCTTGATAAAATGATTTGATCTCACTCTGATACATACCCTCTGGATTGTTAGCACTATTACTTGCTTTAATGAGTACAAGTGTTGAGCAAGATGTATGCGTTTCTTAACGGGTCCAATATTAGGAAAATACATCATAATGTAAAGTTCAACAGTCACAAGATGTGCAGTTTGCAAAAGTCACCCACTGTGATTTGGAAGGTATCATTTGTTTTAGTTTTGTGCATACGAAGATTCTGTACTTTTTTAAATGTCATGTTAAAAATGGCACAGGGGAGACAATTAATATATATTGTTGCTGCTTTCTGCTGGATACATTGAGTTAAAAATGAGAACCCCACAGCGATTCATATCAGAAAATCATATTTATCCCAGTTTCACCTCTCACCTCAGTGTCCTCCTCTAGACCTCTCTGACCAACAGCTGACACGCTGGGATAGCTTTACTCCAACAAGTGAAAATCAGCACATAAAAACCTGAAAGCCTTCCTGGGGTGTATCCAGCATCACCTGCAGAGATAACCTGCTAAATTCACTAATAATTCAAGTGTCAAAGTGCTTACACATACACACTTTCTAAACTGTTCCAAATCTACGGTTTAGGCCTTAGGTGCAGGAAGTGCAGAAATTTCATCAGAGCCTTTGAGTGAATTTGAAAAGGGCCTCTAGAAAGGTTGTGTTTGCCACAGGGATTCAAAGCAACTTTTAGGTTCTGGGAGAGAGCGAGGCAGTTGCCTGACAACCAACATGCAGTGCATAATTAGATTTTGTATTTTGTATTTATATGTATTTTAGGTAGTATCATTTTAGAAGCTTTTGGAAGTTTTGTTAATTAAACTAAACGCTTTAGACATCAGCTGGGTCCATTTACTCCTTTAATTCTCAGCTATATAACACAAGGACTTGTCTCAGTGCTTGGCATGAACCAGGGAAAAATGTTGATCTGATTTCACCAGGGGCATGGATCAAGCTATACGTGATTTGCAAACACACGCATGTGAGGTCCACATGATACCCAGAAGGACAAGTATATCTGTGCAGCTAAATTGATTTATGGCTTTTGTCCTGAGTGCTTTTGAGGAATAGCACCAGTTGAGGCAAATCACAACGCACACTTCCATTACCTTTGACAAAATGGCGTTTGAGTTTTGTTAGATGGAAGTGGCAAGTGTATTGTGAAAAATGTGTTTTGAAGTGATCGTTCGTCACCTAATCTTGAGCCTTTGGCTGTGTCGAGGGCCGCTTAAGAACTAAAAACGGATCTGAACTACCGGAGTTACAGTCTGTCTTCCTTGTGCCGGCCTGTAAAGGCATTACAGTGACACTTATTGGGAGATATTGAACATGTGATTTTGTAGTAGAGCACTAGAACAACAGTACAGCTTGTATTATCTTTTTACAAGGCACGGGCAATAATTTGAACTGACTCTCCTGAATCCGACATTGTGGCACCAGTGTATTGGTGGCTGCCACAGAATTCTAATAAATGAAGAGCGTTGTGTTTACACTTTCCAGAAGCACTCTTGGAGAGAGAGAACAGTGCTCCAGCGTACAGTGCATGTGCACCGCTCTACAGTGAAAAGCAATAGTCGCTGGTATACACTGTGCCATAATGTAGCGGACGATTGCACATCTAGCACAGAAACATTTAGTGCTGTGACCCCTTATTGAAGCTTTAGCCTAATTCCCCAGCTTGAACCTGAATCATTGCTCTTTAATCCCTCTAATCAAAGCAGGTAACTACAATTTATGATGCAGTGGAGAGCAAGAAATTCTCGAGGTGGTTTTTACTGCGCTTGGAGCTTAAAATCATCTCATTACTTCGGGAATATTTGAAGAACTGTGTACACAACACTGCCACTCCATGTTCCTATCCTTAAGTAATTTCCCCTTTCATTATTCCTGTGGAGAATTTAATATTCTGTGTGATGAGAACTGCCTCCTTTAGGGATAATGCCGGCTTGAGTACTGGCCCTAAACAGTTTTATAGATCGTTAAGGGGCGTTCAAGATGACTTCTCTGCTTCTGTAAAATTAACTCCTCTAAGATGTGAGAGATATCGAGGATAAGTCGAAGCACAGAGCTATAATATCTCACCTTATTACTTGTTGATGCCGACAGTGGCTAAGAAGATGACCTTATGATTTATAACATTTGGTATGGCAAACAGTCTGGCCGAGTCGTCTGTTTCAACACATCCGAGCAAACACGTGAAGGTTAATGCAGCCTGACAAACTACCCACAGTTCCCTGGGCTCGACGGATCGGTTCCATGTCATATTTACTTTACATAATTGCTGCCCTCTAATCTGTTACTATTAACACGTTGCTTGCCTGGCTATTGTCTGCTGTACTCTCTTTTACCTGTTTTCTCTCTCAGTACATTTTCCCTTCCCTCCCATGAGAATAGCCAGACATCATGATAGATGCTTGGTGTGAAAGTAAAGCATGCCATGATGGGTTTAGGATCTTGAATTACTTTAGAAATGAAGGCAACCATGCTCCGGGATGGCAGAAGCTCCATCGGTGGACAGTCTTGCACATTTGCTTTTAATGTCCTTAAGTCAGAAGATTGTTTGGGTTTGACACAGGGATGTGACCCTGGCAAAAAAAATTAGGGTTTTCATGCAAGATGCCAAATAATTGCTGAAAGTCACCCGAGGATTTGGGGGGGAAGGGATTGCATGCTCTTGAAATGTGCTTAGACTAGGGATATTTAGTGACAGCACTTGATGCATTACCACTGTGGTCCTTAACTACATTGTATGCTGCACAGGATAGAACATGGACAGAGATATGGTATGGATGCGAGCAGTTTAACAAATGTTTGTGCCTTTGAAATGTGTATAACGGATTTTTTATCTTTTCCCCAATTCATAAATATCTTTAAATAAATGACAATACGGATGCCTGAAAGGGCTTAAGTGACAGCAACATATTTAAATAGCCTTTTCCTATTAACCTAAAGGTTGATTTACATAGTATTTTCCACCCGGATATTTGCTTAGTATAATGTGATACCTGCCATTGCATTTTGATTGGAAAGGATAGAGGAGCGTTCTCGAGGGAACAACTACTGTACCCGCCTCATGGCTATTGTAGACTCACTGCATGACCTTATGTGTTGTGCATACAACAAATTGGTTCCTGCATCTCATTGTGCACATTGGTGCAAATGCACTGCTGGTGATGCTCTGCGTAGGGACTCGCGGACAAAGCAGCCGGGCCAGTAATTGTGGAAGCCTTTCTTTTTAGACGCACATGGTTTATTTATTTGTTTATTCAAGAATTGCCAAGATTGAAAGCATGACAGCCTTTGGTTTTGTTTTGCACATTTACTGCCGCTGTTCGCCCAAAGTATATTGAGATGAAAGCCACCTGCGATTAACCACAGGATACCGTCCTGCTGGTCCAGCTCTGGGAGCAGCACCGCTTCTCACTGTTGTAACCTACAGATTAACATTTATGGCTCAGCATGCTCTGCTGGACTTTCTGGGTCAAGACCAAGTTGCGAGATTGAGCAGTGGGCCCGACTTTGTAACAGTACAATTCTCCCTGTGAGCATGGGGCTGCGCCTGGCAGGGAGAGGCAAACAGAAATGTGCTTAGTTCTGTCATAGGGAGAACAAAATCGAAATGCATTGTACTCTCTGCTTGTGAAAATTGCCCTGAGTGAATACCTGTGTGGTTTATAGGCTCTGCATTTGTGAAATACAGGCATTATATTCCAAGTCGGGAAATGTTATATATGTAAAGGACATTACAATGTAAAGACCATCTCCCGCTAACTACAACGTGCAGACAGACCTGCATTACAGTCATCGTTATGCATTGTGCAGCTCTTATTAAAAAATGTTCTACCCTTCGTGGTTCCTTACAATTTCCAAATGTTTAGAACACCTTTTCATTGCAGTTTTTTTTATATCTGCTCATGGCAACAATGTGAGCCCTGGAGGAGGTCTCCAAGAATAGCCGCATCATGCCAGGGGCTTCAGATCTGCTCTTTTGTGGCCCCTGGACAGCCCAGTGGGAAGCTGGGCGTCAGCTATGCTTGTCGATGGAGCCGCCCGCCTGATGGCCTCAATAATTCTGTTGACGCGACCTCTCTGAGGCTGAAAGCCGCAGGTCTGGCGGGTGACGAAGAGCGATGATGCGGACATGTGGCGCAGCTTCATGAGGGGAGCCAGTCAGCAACACTTTCTCTGTCTTTGTATCGTCAGCGGGGGGAAGAGGAAGAAAATATTGAATATCAGACCATCGAAGAGTGTAAAACTGGCGCCTCAGAGTCACTGTAATGTTATACAGGTCAGCAATCTTTGACTTCCAGTAGAGAGCAGTGTGCATTCAGAAGTTGGTCTCAACCAACTGCTGCAGGGCAGACTATAGTTTCACCTAAGTGGAGAAACTCGTGGCATGTTGGTGAGTTTTCAGATTGATGTTTCTTTAATAAGCCTTGCAGTCTCTCAGTATTCTGATACTGTGCCATCATGACCTACATACTTCTTAAAACGCTGACAACTAGAGAATAACCCCCTCCAGTTTCTTTACGTTCAGTGTTTTTTTATGTGGCACCATAAAGAGACAACGTACTCAATATATTATTCTCTGTAAAGTGCAAAACTTGTATTCATTGTGTGGATGCCATTTGCATTTCTTCTAATTTCATATCATTGCAGAGAGTAGTTTGATCCCTTTTGTAACAGTTATGTAAATGAACAACTGCAACAGCAGGTTAAAGTCTCTTTTTTGGTCGGATTTGATATTTTTCATCAGTCAGTGCAGAGTGTTGCATTCTCATTGCAGTATTGAAGCGTTCCCCCATAC